TGCCTTGGCTGCGCAACCCTGGTCCATGGCGCACCTGCTCGCCGACCTGTCTGTCTCTCCCTCCTCTGTGCAGCTCTGGGGCCCGAGTCCTGCTCTGTTGGTCTGGAGGAGTGAGCTGGTCTGTGGCCTCTCCTGCGTGCTTGGGGTGGCTCTGCCAGGTCTGGAGAGAGGAGACCCTCGCTTCCCTGAGGGAGTCCTGCTATTTTTTTTTTCCTGGTCAGTCGTGGGGCTTGAACTCTGGGCCTGGGCGCTGTCTACCACTTGAGCCACAGCGCCACTTCCGGTTTTCTGGTGGTTTATTGGAGATAAGAGTCTCCCCGACTTTCCTGCCTGGGCTGGCTTTGAACCGCAATCCTCAACTCAGCCTCCTGAGTAGCTAGGATTCCAGACATGAGCCACTGGCACTCGGCTCCTTCTGCTTTTAAGTCTTCATGTGCCTGTGTCTTCATGGGGGTCCTAGATCCAGAGCCACCACCAACCACTGCCCCTCTGCCCCTGATAGGCGCGCTCCGTGGGGAGCTGGCTCCTCAGCTGGAGGTTTCCCCATCAGGACAGGTCCCCGGTGAGGTTCTTACAGGGTGTAGGGTCCCCGCAGTGGTCACTCAGCCCAGGTGTGTAAGGCTGGCATCCACAGTAGGAGCCATGGGGCACAGATGCTGCTCCAGCCTCGCCCAGCTTCTCCCAAGCGATCCCCAACAATCCCACCTCGGACAGCGGCCGTCCAGCCGGCCCCGCCCTGCCTTGCTCTGTGGCTCGGTGATGGTCACGTGTGGGAGGCTTTGGCTCAGCTGGTGTCAGCCGAGCCCTGTGTAGAGGATGCCCGTCCTCAGCCGCAGCCTGAGCCCCATGTAGAGGATGCCCGTCCCATGCCCGTCCTCAGCCGCAGCCTGGCCTCGTGTGTGCAGAGGGCATTCTCTGCCCTCCTCAGCCTGTCAGCCTGGCCTCTGGCCGTGGCATTCCCTGTGTGCTGCTGGGCCGTGACCTGTCCCTCCTGTCCCTGGAAACTTTTTGGGATGATAGCATGTGAAGAGTCCGCTGTGAGCGGTGAGGTGAGAGGTGCCCTCCACGGTGGCCCGGAGGGCCGCACAGGCCATTCCTGGGACCCCGCCATCGAGGCAGCTGCTGAGATCTCTCTCCGAGGGTTCCAGCAGGGCGCCGGCTCCTGCAGCAGCCTTGCGCCGTGGCGGTCTGGCGCACAGAGCATGCTGGTGTCCAGGCCTCTAAGCTGTGGCCTCCGACAGCCAGCCTGAGCGAGGTCGGTCGCTGCTTCTCTGGTTCTTGCGGCTGCTTTTGTCCCTCGCTGCTCGGCTCCTCCTCGAGCTCTGCTTCTGCACAGCCCTGCTCGCGGCAGCCCCGGGCACTGTCTTGAGTGGGTTGTTGCTCTGGCAGGCAGCAGGGCGCTGTGGTTAGCTGGGAGCAGCCGGCAGCCCCGGGCAGGCCTGATGATGGTGTGGAGCTGTCTCCTTCAAGGCTGCAGCTCCTGAGTGGAGCGCCGGGTGCGGTGTGCACCCCTGGCAGCCCGTGGTGGGAGAGGGCACAGGCTCGCGCCTCCGTCCCTCCCTCCACTGGCATGACGGAGTCCAGCCCCACCCAGCCTTCAAGCTCTCTAGGACCGCACAGCTCCTGCTCAGTCAGCTCTGGGCCCAGCTCTGCGCCACCACCAGGGCTGAGGTGGCGCCCTGGGCTCTCCAGAGAGCGGCAGGGTGTGGCCGCTGGCTGGGTCTGACCTCACCTCCCGTCTTCCCACCCACAGGATGGTCCACCTCCATGGAGACGCCCCACAGCCTCGGCACCGCGGGCCCTCCCTGGCCTCCACGCAGCGGCTCCAGCCCCGAGCCCGGGCCCACGGAGCTCACCCCACTCTGAGCCCAGCTAGGCTGACAGCACGGAGCCCTCAGCCCCCTGGACCTTGCTGAGGGGCTTCCCCGAACCCCAGCACGATCCTGGCCTCTCCTGTCTGTGCACCCTGTGTGACTACCAGGCTGCGAGGGGCCACCATGACCCCAGATCAAGAGCACAGTGGACTGCCCCCTCCACACCCCTTTTTTTCTACGGTCAGTCTATTTGTAATGGTACAAATGAAGGCCAGCAGCGTTCTACTCGGGCTCTCGGGGCCTCCCACAGAGGCCAGGTCCATGCTCCAAGAGCTGACAGCTAGCAGAAGAGAAGTACCGAAGGGTTCAGTGCTGTCCATGGACACTCGGGAAGCCTGCGGGAAGCCTGGCTCGCAGTCAGTGAAGGAACCGTGTCTGTCCGAGCTCCGCACGTGCGTCCTCGAGCAGCCTGGCTATTGCCAGTTTCATCCTTTGGTGGCCTTGCTGGCACCTGGAGCCCCCGCCTGCCCTGCCCTGCCCTGCCCCTCCTGTGGCCCCTCCGTGCCCTGCACCTGCCCCGGCTGCACCGCGTGCCTTGGGTAGCATGCAGTCTGGCGAGGGGGCCGCGCCGTCCCTCAAGGGTGGTGGTTGGTGTCTGGTCCCCATGGGCTGCGTATTCTCATGGGTCCTGGTAAAACCAGCTCAGCTGTCCCCTGTGGTCAAGGCATTTCTGCCCATTTGGCGGGGCTCCCAGGGAGGAGCCTGGCAGTTTTCTGGGCTCCCCCTTTGCCAATTAATGCCCCCTCACCTTTCTCACCAAGGGGAGTCCATCTGATGAGGAGGGCCCCGGCATCATGCTTGTACTCTGTACGCCAGTGCCAGTACTGGGGCTTGAGCTCAGTGCCTGGTGCTCTTGCTTGTTAACAGCTGGTGCTTTACCACTTGAGCCATGCTTCTAGCCTGGCTCTTTGCTGGTTAACTGGGAGATTGGAGTCTCAAGGACTTTTCTGCCTGGGCTGGCTTTGAACTTTGATTTTCCAGGTAGCTAGATTACAGGCATCTGTCAGGTGCCCAGCAGTGATGCATGCTTCTTGTTTTGTTTGGGGTTTTTTGTCAGTCGTGGGGCTTGAACTCTGAGTCTGGGCACTGTCCCTCAGATCCTCAGCTCAGGGCAATAGCTCTACCACTTGAGCCACAGCACCACTTCCGGTTTTCTGGTGATTCATTGGAGATAAGAGTCTCACAGACTTTCCCGCCCAGGCTGCCTTTGAACTGTGATCCTCAGATCTCAGCCTCCTGAGTAGCTAGGATGAGAGGCGTGAGCCACCGGCCCAGCCTTGCTTTACTTCTAAGGTGACTTTTCAGTGGAAAGGCAAAGGCAGCACCTGGCACTGGTGCCCCCCGCAGAACTTCCCCAGGCTGCCCGGCCTGGAGCCAGTGCCATGGGATGGAGCTTGCCTCTGTGGGTAGGGCAGCCGGAGCCTGGCTTTGTCTAGTGAGGTGCTTGGGGAAAGGAGATGAAGCTAATGGCCAGCTTGGTCTCTCAACAGAGCAGTGTCTACATGCCCGCTGCCTGCTGTACACACGCACACAAATATCATACGTGTGTGCACAGGTGTACACACGAGCATGTGCATGCATGCTCATCCCCGCTCATTGGTACTGGTGCCAGTACTTTGAAGGATGGATGCAGACTAGCCTATCTCGGACTTACACGTGCTATCATTTGTTGTACTCTGATTGGCTAGTTTTTGGCTCGTTTTTACCATATATTTATAGTAATAAAACCATGCAGCAATATCCTGTCTGGCCTTCTCTGGGCACGACTGTTCTTGGTGCAGCGTCAGAACCCTGAGTGCCTGGTGAAGGCTGCCTGCCCCAAGCCCCGTCACGGGGTACAGGGTGCCTGTCCTACTGGTGTCTTGTGTCTTTGTTGCTCACTCCCATTCTGGCTGGGAGTTGTTCAGTCTCCTCAGCAGGTTGCTGCATGTGCCATGTTTACTAAGCACCTCCCGAGCACCAGAGGAGGGCAAATCGACATGGTCTGGTCCATTGAAGTTGGTGGGATGCCGGGCAGACAGATCCTCAGCCTTTTACGGTTTGGTTCCTTCCATTTAGGAAAGGCAGGGGGTGATGGGTGAAGTTACACCGGAGTCTCAGATGAAACAGCCCTGCTGGAGGGGGAGTTGACCCCGCAGAGCTGCTTCCAGGCAGCTGCCCAGCCTGCACGGGGCCCAGCGGCGGGAGTGAGCCCTGCGTGCCGGCCTGGACCTTGTTAGCTGCTTTGTGTTTTTACAAGGGGTTGTCAAGAGGTTTGAGATGAGGGAGCAACACAGTGACGTCGCGTGGAGGATGCTGGTTACCCCAGAACAGTGGGCTTGGGGGTTGCAGCCCCTGCGGGACCTGCTGCCTGGCACCCGCCCCTGCCGAGGAAGCGGCCTGCTCGCAGGCTTGTGAGTCCCACAGCTCCTTGGTGCCGCTCTCCGAAGGCCTTGCGCGGCAGAGGTGTCACTGGCCGATTCGTGCCCTGCAGCTGCGCTCGCTCACAGGTAGGCATGGTGGGGCACTGGATCCGGTGGGAGGGGTGGGCGCAGGGGGAGCCCTGTCCTGGGGCCCGCGTCCAGAGCTGGTCAGGCAGGCCCCCCGCGGGGAGCGCGCTCCCCCAGACGTGAAGCCCGCCCTCCGAGCCCGGCTTCCCCGCCGGCCCCGGGGCCGCGCTGCGCTCCCCAGCCCTGGACGCACATCCTGGGGACAGGAGGGTGGTGCTTCCCCCGGCCGTGGGTAAGGGGAGCCGGACACCTTGCCCGGGGCTCTTCCAGCACCAAGACGGGGCTGGGAGAGCGGGCGGCGCAGACAGGGGGCGCTGCGTCCTCCCGACACCGAGCAGCGAGTGCCCAGGGCCCTCGGTGGCTGCTAGGTCACGTGGCCTTACGGAGGGCACCCTTGTGGACGGCTGGCTCACGGAAGCGGGCGGCCGCGGGGGCAGACCTGTTGTCTTACGCGGCCTTCGGAGCTCCTGGGCTCGCCCCGTGGCGTCTTGGGAGTTGTAGTACTGGAGGATCTTGGGAGTGGTAGTATTCGAGGCTCGGGCTTCCTGTTTGCACACTGCGCACCGGGACTGAGTCGGTGGGCGGGGCGCGCGTGCGTGGGCGTTCGCGGATTGGCCAGGCGACGGGGCCGGGCCGCGCATGCTCGTAGGCAGCGGTGACGGCCGTGGGGACCGCTAAGATGTCGGCTGTGGCCGTTCCGGAGCTGAAACAGATCAGCCGGGAGGAGGCTATGCGCCTGGGGCCGGGCTGGAGCCACTCATGCCACGCCATGCTGTACGCCGCCAACCCCGGGCAGCTCTTCGGGCGCATCCCCATGCGCTTCTCGGTGCTGGTGAGGACCCGGGCGGGGGTGGGGGTCGGGCGCCGCGCCGCCCCGCCCCGGTGACCGCGCTCCCTTGCAGATGCAGATGCGCTTCGACGGGCTGCTGGGCTTCCCGGGGGGCTTCGTGGACCGCCGCCTCTGGTCGCTGGAGGACGGGCTGAACTGGGTGCTGGGCCTGGGCCTGGGCGGCCTGCGCCTCACCAAGGCCGACTACCTGAGCTCGCACCTGACGGAGGGCCCGCACCGCGTCGTGGCGCACCTGTACGCGCGGCAGCTGACGCTCGAGCAGCTGCACGCCGTGGAGATCAGCGCCGTGCACTCCCGCGACCACGGCCTGGAGGTGGGGCCGCCGCCCGGGCCCCGCCCCCCGCCCCGGGGTTTGGCTCTGGCGCTGCAGAAGGCACCGAAGGGTAACACGTCCCCCTGAGGGTCCTCGGGGGGGACGGGTGGCACCGGGGCGCCCTCAGGGATGTGTTACGTCTGCCTTGCTGCCTGCCATTGCCAATCCTGGGAGTGGGGAGTGGGACTGGCGGGAGGGCGGGATGGGGAGCGGTGCCCGAGGCGGGGAAGGAACGGGAAGGGGTCTCCTCGGGCCACGGCTGGCGGGGGGGGGGGGGGGGGGGGGTTCGGGCCCGGTACCCCGGAGGGCTCGGGGAGCTTAGGGCGGAGTGTGCATGGGTGAGCCTGGAAACCCGCCTGGGGGATGGGGTGCCCTGCTCCGAGCGGCCCACGGCCGGAAGCCCCTGCCCGCACCTCCCCTTCTCTGGCTGTCCCTCCGCATCGACGGCGGCCCCAACTCTGGCCTTGTGTCGTGCAGGTGCTGGGCCTCGTACGAGTCCCCCTGTACACGCAGAAGGACCGGGTCGGAGGCTTCCCCAACTTTCTGAGCAACGCCTTCGTCAGCACTGCCAAGTACCAGCTCCTGTTTGCCCTCAAGGCGCTCAACATGATGCCCGCAGAGAAGCTGGCTGAGGCTGTGGCTGCAGCCACAGAGAAGCAGAAAAAGGCCCTGGAGAAGCTGCTCCCTGCTTCCTCCTGAGGTCCTCAGCCACCCTCACCTACCCCCAGGCTGCGTTTGTGCCCATGGGCCCTGGAATTCCTGTGAAGTGTGCCTTCTAGCCTGTTTTTGCACCCCAGTCTCGACTGAACTGGATGCGCAGTCTCTGGGGCCCAGCTGCCTGCTCAGGTTGGTGGGTGGGGGGGTCCCGGACGCTTTCATCCCCCAGGCTGTCTAGGAGGCCATGCTCAGCTCATTCCCAAATCCTTCCCGAGGCAGCCAGGACCTGCGCTGGCCTGGGGTAGGAGGTTGTACTGTTGATTTCGGTTGTTGGGTTCATGGTGTGTAAACTGTGGGTGAGGTTTCAAAGGGGCTCTGCTCTGTGTACATGGCTTGCCTCCCCAGGGCGGAGGGCCTTGCGCCCCAGCTCTGTGGGACTGAAGGATGATGACAATAAAGTCCCTCCGTGCTGCTCAGTGTGTGCATGTGGTGGCGCGGGGCCTGGCCCTGCTGGTACTCATGGGTTCCCTAGGTGTTCTCCAAGCAAACTGCGAGTTGGATTTCACACAACTGTGGGACTCAAGCAAGGTGACTGACCCCACAGGAACAGGAGCCTGGGCCTCGGCCTCAGGACCACAGCCAGGCCCCTCTCAAGTAGGTGTTTCATTTTATTTTCCAACAAATGACACATTTTCTAGGTGTCCCAGTCCTCAGACCCATAAAAGGTCAAACCTCGGTGTGGAACCTGTTCTAGGGACGCTCTTGTCCGTCTCCCCATGGCCGTGCCTGGTTTGGGCCAGAGCAGCCCCCAAGCTTAGAGCCTTACCACCGGGACTTGAGTTCGAGGCCCTCGTCCTGCCTCTGTGCTAGCCTGAGCTGCCTGGTCTGGGCCACAGCCCCACCCTGTCTGCCTCACACCTCCTGGACGATCCTGGCCTCTCTAGGATCTGGGCTCCTGCAGCTGCCTGCTCACTGCCCTTCTGTCTTCCTGGCTCACTTCAGGGTGGATAGCTCACCCGACGTCAATTCTGAAAACAAAAAGGCCTTTGTGAGAGGTGTCCAGCCCAGGCCCTGCTGCTGCAACCTCCTGTCCTGGCGTAGCTGCCATCCCAGGTGGGCTGCTGGACACTCACCGTCCCTCCTTCCGGGCTAGGGCACCCGCCACTTCTCCTTCCCGTTGAGCACCTGCAGCTTCTCCAGACTCTGGGTCACTGAGCCCAGCACACGCCCTGAGGATGTGGTGGGCGGTGAGTGCTGGGCCGCAGATCTGATGGCAGCAGGGGCTGGGGCGCCCACAGGGCCTGTCTCACGGCCAGCCTCCAAGGAAACCACCTGCTGCCCCTCCACTCACCCATCTCCTCAACTCCATCTTCTAGGGCTCCCAGCAGCTCCGGGAGACTCAAGGCCCACAGGGACGCATGCCAGCCTTGTGAGCCTGTGGTGCAGAGAGATGTGCCTGGCTTGGATCTCTGCCTCTTTCCCCAAGTCACCAAGCTCAGGAAACCCTCCCCGCACTCCAGAAGACCGCAGATACAACCTTCCAGTCGGGTCTCGGCCCCAGGAAGGAATGGGGGTCCACTGCCCACCCAGCCACAGTACAGGGCTTGTCTCAACTCTGGTGGCCTTGCCTCCCTCACCAAGAGGCAAAACATCTTTTCCCACAGGTGAAGTGAGCCACCTCTCCCCAGCGGACCACTCAGGACTGAGGCAAGGATGCCAGCAAGATGGGCTGAGCCTGCTGAGGGCTTTGTGTCCAGCCCAGCACCAAGGTGCTGCTCTGCTTACCTGCTGGCGGGGCGGCAGGGCCTGGGGCGGCCGTGCGGGCGGGAGGGTCCTGCCCCACTCGGGCTGACAGCTCGGCTTGACAGGCTCTGGCAGACAGGAGACCAAGTGCTAGTGAGGCTGGGCACGCTGCCAGGCCACCGACAGCACGTGCCTCTGTCCTGAAGCTCTGGCCCACTCACCGCAGCTGGTCCAGAATGAGAGTGGCATCCCGGGCTAGGGCCTGGGTCACCTCTAGCTGGGTGTGGACGTCCTTGCGGGTGCCGTCCTGCTCCAGCAGGCAGCTCTCCACCACAGCCCGCAGCTCCTGCTCCTGAGACACCTGGCCACGCATGGCCTCCACCTCCTCACAGCGCTGCAGGGGAAACACCAGGCTGGAGAGGCCAGGCTGGAGGCAGCTGAGGCCCGCGTGGCTGTCCACGGCCTGGGCTGGCGGCACAGCCTCCACCTTCTCCCTCGTCCAGTCTGCTGGGAGCCTGCACTTGTTCCTTGCCCTGTCCTACCAACTCAGGTGCCGCACAGCTGCTGGCTCTCCTCCCCGCTTCCCGCACCCCTGCACGCCTGTGTCTCTGGATGCTGCCCTCACCGTACTACTTGGCCCCTACCCACACATCCCGCCCGCCCCACTTGCCTTGTGTAGCTGGATGGCAAGCTCTTGCATCTCAGCCTCCAGCCGGTCGGCATAAGCCAACTCCAGGGCATCGCTGGGGGGACGGGCACTGCTGTGCCAGCGGGCAATGGCAGAGGTCATCTTCCTTTTGGGTCCAAACAGCCTGCGTGGCAGGAGAATCGGAGGGTCTGGGTCAGTGTCCGCCTCCTGCATGGGGGCTCCACGGAGCACCCTGCCACCACAGGCAGCACTAGGAAACTCCGGCTCTGCAGGGCATCTCTGGGGCAGCCCAAGGCCTCCTTAGGACACTGGTAAAGGTGAATCCTCATCCAGGCAAGCATGGACGATGCATCTGTCTCCTCGCTAGCCAGGCCCACCCAGGCCTCCCAACACCAGTGGCTGTTGCCGGTCACAGATGCACAGCCTGCTCTCTGCGAGGATCAGGGATTTAAGGACAGCACCTTCTCTCCATTCTTCCATGTGGGCACCACACATTAAACACAAGGGCAGACTGAGGGTAGAACGTTTTCTGCCCAAAGAAAGGCACGGTTCTAGAAAAGACCTTCAACCCTGGGCTAGCCTTGATTAAAAGGCAGCTCAAAGAACCAGTCAAGCCCAAGGAGGGGAAGGAATCTTATTAAATAACAGAGAAAGGAAAGAAATAGAATGTAGTGCTTAGGAAAAACTTGAGAAAGACCCGCTAGCACTTGACATAACAGCTAACTTGCATACACACTTGTAATCCAGCACTCAGGATGTCAAGTCAGGAGGATCACAGTTTCCATGACGGTATGGCCTACATAGCAAGACCATGTCTCAAGAGCCAAAACCACCATGATGCCCCTGAAGTGGGGCACTAGTAATGCACGCCTGTAATTGTAGCTACCCAGGAGGCTGAGATCTACGGATGGAGGTTGAAAGCCAGCCATTTTCCATCTCCATTTAACCAGCAAAATATGAGACTAGATGTAGCTCAAGTGATAAGAGTGAGTTGAAGCCCTACTACTAACACGCAAATCAGTCAAATGGAGAAAACAAGTGAATCCAAAGGAAGCTTGTTGGAGAGAGCAAAGCAGATCGGAGCAGGCAGAGGAGAAAACCAGCCATCTTGAAGATAAAACAAGGGAAGCAAGTCTGAGGAACTGCCTAGGGGCACAGAGGACACCAGTGTGTCATAACACACGCTGGGGGGGGGGGGGGAATGCACACAGAGTGAGGACAGCCTGACGGAAGACGCTAGTATGAGCATCCAAGAACACCACATAGGACACAAACCCATATTTCCAAAAGACAGTCCACAAAAGCAGCCACAAAGGAACATGGCATATATAAGGGATTCTTGATAAAATTACCAGCAGGTTCTCTTTAGGAACTTCAGAGGTCAAGGGCTGATACACTGTAAACCAATAATTCGTCTGGAAGGGCTCTCTGTGGTTGGCAAGGGAGGCAGCTGACGCCCCAGCACTGCCCTGCCGGGCCCAGAAGGGGGGGTGACGCACTGGAGCGGAGTGGAGGCACAAAGGTCACTGTGCACAGGCGACGTCAAGACAAAAGCTTAGACTGCCTATAGATTTTATGTTGACTTTCTTCCTAAAACTTTTAGAGAAACCAAGTCCTGCTCCCATGCAGGAAATAGAGCTCTTAAATAAGAAAGCTGTGCTGCAAATTCTTCTGCCTCCAGTGAGACTGACAGCCATCAGGTGACAATAGTCACTCGTGACAGTGATCATGTGCAGGATTCTTAGGTCCAGAGCCCGCCCTCCCGCAGCAGCACAGCGACACCAACTGAGGGCCTTCAGCAGCTGGTCTAGGTGGTAAGTGGGTGGCAGCTCTGCGCTTCCGAGGTGAAGAAGGCTGGGAAGGGGCGCAAGGCTGGCATGGAGGAGGTGAGGGCAGCCAGGCCCCTCAGGACGGAACTCACGTGATGCCGATCTCCTTGAGGTCACTCTCCGTCAGTGTGAGGAAGATGCGCAGGTCCACGTCCTGCTCCTCAAACAGCTGCAGGTACTTCAGACACCCAATCTGCTCCAGCAGCGCAGCCAGGTCCTGGCGGGCAAGGCAACAGGGGGAGGTGATGCAGTAAGGCAAAGCAGCCTGCCAGAGCTCCGCTCCAGGACCACCCCGTCCGCAGGCTGCCCCACCTGCCCGGAAGACATGGCAGAGCTGAGAAGGGGGAGATGCCACCCAGAGCCAGTGTTATGCCAGTGCTCGCCATGAACTCGTGGCTCTGCAGAGGGGGCTCTGGAAGTGGCTGAGCAGTTCCCTCAGTACTATTTAGGAACTGCTGTGTCTGACAGAGCTGTCCTTGTCCTGGGTGGGAGGTGTGACTCCATGCCTTCACCAGCTGTGCCTGTCACTGCACTCCGATGGCACTGTTGGGTCCCTCCCTCCCCCCGCATCCTCAGATCCCAACTTCTAGTAAAATGGGTGAGGAGCGCCGAGGTAAGCCGGGGATGAGCCACCCAGGAGGGGGGTGCAGAGCCCGCAAACCCACAGCTCTCTGGGACAGTAGAGCCGGGCACACAGCTGACAGTTCTGACACTGCGGCCCATCACTGTCTCCAGGGGCCAGGTCAGCCGCGGACCTGTCTCTCTAGGATGCACGGGTCACACAGCCGTCAGAGGCCTCGGTGCTAAGCTGACTTGATACCTAAACCACGTTTGTTCTGAGCCACGCACAAGCACCCCAAGTGAGCAGCCAGCAGGTTGTTACCTGGGGTCCTGAGTAGGGGGGCCTCTCTGTTCGGGAGGCAGACCCTGGGGAGCGGGCAGCCCCCCCGGGACTGGGCAGCCACTGGCCGTCACTGCTGCCATGGCGATTCTTGGTCTTCACGTAACTTTTGGTTTGTTTGCGAGCAGAGCTTCTCTGGATGTGGTCCGAATCCTGCAGAAGAGCTGTGTGCTGGGGGCAGGTGGGGAGCTTGAAGCCCCCAAGACTGCGGACACGCCACCCCACGTGGCTGAGCGGACGGAGCTGTTTCCACCACCTGCGACGCCCGGGTGTCCCCAGTGACTCCCGAGCTCGGCACAGAAGCTCATCAGACACTCGCTCATCCACCTGGGGGGCCCAGGCACCCCCCAGAGGGGTATGATCGGGGGCGAGGGGAGCTCACCTCATTGCTCTCCACAGAGGCTTCGCTGCTGAGCTCCCGGGCCCTCCCCAGGCCCTCGCTGCTGCTGCTCTGCACGGCCCCCACGCTGGCACAGAGCCCGGGCTCCTCTGCCGATGGGAGATGGGCCTGATGACTGGCACGCCCCACTCCCGGCCGTGCCCATGTCGGCGGGGTGTCCAGACCTATGCACGCAGGCCTCAGTGCGTACCCCCTAAGTCCCTGCGTATTTCTCTGGGAAGACAGCCCTTCTGGCTTTGCCACCCAGCCTGGGAGACCGTGCCCCACCATAGATGGGTTTCCCAGTGAGAACAGGGCCAACGTGGCGTACCCCGGCTACTGCTGCTGCTGCTCTCCACGTCATGGTCGTTGATGGGGGAGGTGACGTCCCGGTAGCAGAGACCATCGCCTTCCAGGGGATCGCTGCCAGTGAAGGTCAGGTAGCCCCGTGGTGGGCCCTGCTCTGTGTGCAGGAGTGAAGACAGGAGCCCTGTGCCAAAGGCCTCAACCTGCTGAGGGCTGCTAGGGTGAGGGGCCAGCGCTGGGAGGGGCCTCAGAGCTGCCTCCTCACCTCCCTCCGTGCAGCATGGCCGTCACCGCTATCCACAGCTGCCAAGGGAGGAAGTAGGCTCCAAGGGACTAAGGACCTGTCGGTGCCCCCAGGACAGCACCTGCTGCTGCTTTACACAGGACACGCCTACACACCATGCAAACGTGTGTATGCCCACAAAAACTGCTGCCGTTGGCTCAGTCCCCATGGAGGACCTCCGTCCTGGAGGCGCCTCCACCCCCCCGGCTGCAGGCGGCGCAGGGGCAGGAGGCTGCACGTCCCTATGCCCATGTCCCACTGTGTGAATGGCATGTAGCTGCATCTGGAGCCAAGTTCTACCTCCAATTTAAGCTAGCTGGTGAAGGAGGTACCGGGTGGTCTCTGAGCACCCAGGAGCACATAGGAAAGGCTTCACTGCACCCCCAGTTCCAGGGCCACATTTGGGGCAAGAAAACTCTCTGCCCCTCGACACAGAATCTTGGCTCACAAACCAGAGTCCCCAGGGAATGGGGACTGCTCACCATAGCTGGGCCGCGGGGTCTTGCCTCCAAGTCCGATTGCTGTGATCCTGGCCAGGGCTCGTGGCCCCTCATGGATGCTGAGACCCTTCCGACAGGGCCTGTGTCTCTGAGGAACAGGGTAAGATTCATCTGAAGAGCTCAGATCTTCAAATTTTTCTGCTGGTCAAATATTGGACAAATTTACCAATTTGCATAGTAAAGTGGAAGGAAATGATCATAACTAGTATTCTTTTTTGTGTGTGCTGGTCCTGGGGCTTAAACTCAGAACCTGGGTGCTGTCCCTGAGCTTTTTCACTCAAGGCTGGTGTCACTCCACCACTTCAGCGAGAGCCTCACTTGCAGCTTTTTGGTGGGTAATTACAGATAAAGAGTCTCACAGACTTTCCTGCTGGGGCTGGCTTGGAACCAATCTTCAGATCTCAGCCTCCTGAGGAGCTAGGATTACAGGCGTGAGCCTCCAGCAGTCAGCTTATAACTAGTATTGTTAAGAAGAGTGGATTCACCCAAACTTAACTTGTGAGAAATGACACCACCAGCAGAGCCACTATTCTAGGGCCAAGAGGAGCTGAAAAACAAAGACTCTGATGCTTATACCTGCCTAGGTTTCCAGACTCTGTCCTTATAAGACTATATTGCGGGGCTGGAAAGGTGGCTCAGTGGTAGAGCGCTTGCCTTGCATGCATGAGGCCCTGGGTTCGATTCCTCAGCACCACATAAGCAAAAAGAAAAAAGCCGGAAATAGCGCTGTGGCTCAAATGGTAGAGCACTAGCCTTGAGCTGAAGAGCTGAGGGACAGTGCCCAGGCCCAGAGTTCAGGCCCCACGACTGGACCCCCCCCCCAAAAAAAAAAAAGACTATATTGCAGCCAGGCACCAATGAAAAGCCTAGACCACCAGTGATGAAACCACCTCCAACAATGAAGAGTTCAGAGAAAGCAGGTGAGTACAGAGAAGTCAATTGCCTTCACTGCAGTGCAGGCATAGCGTATTAGCTGTCAATCAGCAGTTAAAGCACACAAGGGTACACAAAACCCACTCGCAACACTGCAGAATAAACAAACTACAGGAAAATGCATACAAGTTCCCCACCAGAACAAAACCAAAACATACTTCTTGCTCTTGGATGACAACACAAACATGTATCGATTTCAAAACTATACAAGGCTGGTACCGGTAACTTAACTATAACATACCTGTAATTTACCTACTAAAGAGATGAGATGTAAGGATCACAGCCTAAAATCAGCCTGGGCAGGAAAGTCTGTGAAACACTTATCTCCAATTCACACCAGGCTTGAGCAAAACCACTCAATGACAGGCCCTGAGTTCAAGCCCTAGGATCAACACCTCCCCACCCCACCCCCACAAATGAATATAATTCTCTTTTTGCGTAGCTGAGGATTAAACCCAGGGCCTCATGAATGTGAAGCAAGTGCTCTGAAACTTCACACTTCCAGCCCTTTCTGGTTTTGTTTTGAGATAAGAGTCTCTGACTTTGTCCAGACTGCCTCCAATTCCTGATCCTTCTGCTTCTGCTTCCTGACTAGCTGGAATTACATGTGTAAGCTGCCACACACAACTCTTCCATCTTGTCTGTTGTTTATTTAACAGTACTTGAGATTAAATCCAGCATCTCACATCTGCTAGATAAAAGTGCTCCCATTTATTTAAGCCACCCTCCCTCCCAACACACACACACAATCCTTTCGCTTTTGGTTTTTCAGGTCCTGAGTTTTTGGGTTTTGAACTGCCATCTTCCTACCTACCTCTGCCTGCTAAATAGCTGGGACTACAGGCATGTACTACTGTGCCCAGCTTTTCTTTCCCCAGTACTGGATCCTAAACTCAGGGCCTCATGCTCACTAGGTAAGTGCTCTACCAATTCAGTCATATTTTCATACTTTTGCTTTTGGTGTTTTTTGAGGTAGGTTTTTGCCTGGGTAAGAAAGAGTGTAATCTCCATGTTTTTATCTGAGCAGTTGTGATTACAGGCATATATCATCATGCCCAGCCTTACTAAGAGCATGTAAGGACCGAAACAAGTCAATACATTAATATAGAAAACATTCAAGTGGGCTGGGAAGGTGGTTCAGTGGTAGAGCGCTTGCCTTGCATGCCTGAGGCCCTGGGTTCGATTCCTCAGCACCACATAAGCAAAAAGAAAAAAGCCAGGAGTGGCGCTGTGGCTCAAGTGGTAGAGTGCTAGCCTTGAGCTGAAGAGCTGAAGGACAGCGCCCAGGTCCAGAGTTCAGGCCCCACGACTGGACCAAAAAAAAAAGAAAACATTCAAAGCCAGGTGCCCACTCCTGGTGGCTCACTCCTGTAATCCTAGCTACTCAGGAGGCTGAGATCTGAGGATCACGGTTCAAAGCCAGCCTGGGCAGGAAAGTCTGTGAGACTCTTATCTTCAAGAAAACCAATAGAAAACCGGAAGTGGCGCTGTGGCTCAAGCGGTAGAGCGCTCGCCTGGAGCTGAAGAGCACAGGGACAGCACCTAGGCCCAGAGTTCAAGCCCCATGACCAAAAAAAAAAAAAAAAAAAAAAGAAAACATTCAAAAGCTGTACTCATAATGTATCATGCTGCAAAAAATTCTAATAAATGTGGCTATAATCCATGAACACAAAAACCAACAGAACCAAAGTCTAGGAAATCTGCCATGGGAAATAGTAATCCCGAATAACAAAGATGCATCTTTTTTTTTTGGTCGGTCGTGGGGCTTGAACTCTGGGCTTGGGTGCTAATCCCTCAGCTCTTCAGCACAAGGTAAGCACTCTACCACTTGAGCTACAGCGCCACTTCCGGTTTTCTAGTGGTTTATTGGAGATAGGAGTCTCACTGTCTTTCCTGCCCAGGCTGACTTTGAACCATGATCCTCAGATTTCAGCCTCCTGAGTAGCTAGGATTACAGGCGTGAGCCACCAGCACCTGGCTAAAGATGCATCTCTTAAGCTCTACAATTAAAGGTGAACTTTCACATGAGAATGGTGAGACTACTGTGTAACCATTTAGAAAAAAGACAAAATTGAATTCTTAACACATCGCCATGAGAAAGAAGTACACAAGTATCAGAGAGTGGTAGAGTGCTCGCCTAACAAGCATGAAGCCCTGGGTTCCATTCCTCAGTACCACATATACAGAAAAGCCAGAAGTGGTGCTGTGGCTCAAGTGGTAGAGTGCTACCTTTGTGCCAAAGGTGGTCAGGGACTGTGCCCAGGCCCTGAGTTCAAGCCCTAGGACTGGAAAATTAATAAATGAATGGAAAAAAAAAAAACACAAAACACTGCCCGTGGCTCACACCTATACTCCTAACTATTCAAGAGGCTGAGATCTGGTTCAAAGCCATTCCAGGCAGGAAAGTCCATGAGACTCTTCTCTCCAACTGACCACCAGAAAACTGGAGGTGGTGCTATGGCTCAAAGTGGAAAAGCACTAGTATTGAGCTGGACAGTGCCTAGGCACTGAATTCAAGCCCCATGAGTGACAAAAAATAAACAATAGAACCATACAAGTCCTAGAAGAAAACATGGAAAACTCTTGCATCAAGGCCTACGGAAAAGTCCATTTTGAGCCTGACTCTAAATCCAGAGACAATGAGCAAGGGTAAATCTCGTAACACTCAGTGGAGATGCACGGTGACAACGGAACAGGTAAAATCAAATCAGACCGCTCTGTGAGGCTCCATCCTCAGGCTGGTAGGCACCCTCCAATCCTTAAACCAGGACCTTAATCCAGGACTCCACAATGGCACATGGGGCTGGCAGAGAAGGTACCCAGGCAGGCCTGGGGCTGTCTCCCACTCCAGGCAGCCCAACTCCACACAGCAGTACGTGATGTGAGGCAGATACGGGTACCTGGGCTGCGGTAGAGGCTTTTGGGCCGAGCAGGTGAATGTGTATCTATCAAGGCCACGATCTTCATGTGTCCATACTGCCTGGCCAGCATCCGGGCTGTGGCCCCACTGTGGTCTCTTGTGTCCACTTCAACTCCCTGTGAAGGTCAGGGAAAGAGGAGTCAGGAAGCTCTCCTTCAAAGCCCCTAGGCTCACCGGGCTGCTGGCCTGGGAGGGATGAGAAGAGGAAGTAGGTTGGCTTCTGTCCTCACAAGACACCACATCCCAAGGAGGAGGTGCAGGCCTGCTTGGCTCACTACTGCCTGTTTTGCTGTCTCCGTGCTAGCAGGAGAGAAGCCTCATGGCCCTGTCACCAGGGGCATCTCTTAAGCCATTGCATGCTGCAGACAGCGGGTGCTGTCTGCCAGGGTTACGACCTTGCCTGGGAGATGCAGAATGAAGGGGCTGTCCTGCTTTGGTGGGAAAGCAGAAGATACTCTGGTGGCCACAGGCAAAGAGCACCACCGGCTCCTTGCTGGGCCTGCCTGCTCCATTTCTCCTTGCAGAGCACCAGAAATGTCAATTAAGGAGCAGCCATGTGACCCAGCCTCAGAGTAAGGGCTGCAGAGCCTGGATCCTTCATCCGAAGCTTTAAAATGTAGTTCTAGTCTTTGAGCACAACCACTCCTGACTGTGATTCTAACCTAAAGACAGGAAGCTTTATACACAACAATGTTTGTTTTTTTGTTAGTCGTGGGGCCTGAACTCTGGGACTAGGTGCTATCCCTCAGCACTTCAGCTCAAGGCGAGTGCTCTACCACCTGAGCCACAGCGGCACTTCCAGTTTTCTGAGAGATTCACTGGAGATAAGAGTTTCATGGACTTTCCTGCCCAGGCTGGCTTTGAACCATGATCCTCAGATCTCAACCTCCTGAGTAGCTAGGATTACAGGTGTGAGCCACTGGTGCCTGGTGCACAACGATGTTTATCACTACATGTCTGCAGCAATAAAAATTTAAAAGTGACTTAAATGCTGACTTGGGACAGAGTCAGTGAAGTTACTGCCCTAGGTGTTAATACCTTTTTTGTTGTAGTTGTTTTGAGAGAGGGTCTCACCATGTAGCCCAGAGTGAGCTAGAACTCATAATCTTCCTACCTCAAAGCAGGTGGGGTGGGGGTGGGTGCCATCAGCTCAGGCCTATAGCCCTAGCCACTCAGAAAACTTCACGTCTGTAGGTCACAGTTCAAAACCAGTCTGGCCAGATAATTCATGAGACTCATCACCAATTAGCCAGCAAAAACCTTGAAGTGGAGGAGTGTCTCTAGTGGTAGAGTGCCAGCTGTAAGTAAAAAAGCTGAGCAAGAATGAAAGGTCCACAGGACACTGGTGGCTCATGCCTGTAATCCTAGCTGCTCAGGAGGCTGAGATCTGAGGACTACAGTTCAAAGCCAGCCCGGGCAGGAGAGTCCATGAGACTCTTCTCTAAAATATGCCACCAGAAAACCGAAGTGACACTGTGGCTCAAATGGTAGAGCACCTGCAAAGAGTTCAGGGACAGTACCCAGGCCGAGCTCAAGGCCCACGACCGACAAAACCAAACAAACAAAAAAGAATGAAAGGCCCGGCCAGGCACCAGTGGCTCACTTCTACAATCCTAGCTACTCAGGAGATGGAGACCTGAGGACCATGGTTCCAAGCCAGCCCTGGCTAAAAAGTCCCCGTGAGATTCCAATTAACTAAGGGAAAGTGGTGCTGTGACTCAAAGTGGTAGAGTGCTAGCCTTGAACAAAAGAGCTCAAGGACAGTGCCCAGACCCTAAGTTCAAGCCCCATGACTGACAAAAAAAGAAAAAAGCCCTGAGTTGAAGCCTCAATCACTTACGTGACTCAGGAAATACTGCACGATTATCTCATGGCCAGCAGCAGCCGCTTCCATCAAAGGCGTAAATCCATAGGTGGGCTCCCTGCAAGAGGGGGCCAGTCAGGAGAGAGGGGAGGAGAGCAAGCCCACCACCCAAAAGTGCTCCTGCCAAAGACAGAACCAAACCAAGGTTCCCGAGCAGGGGTGCCTGCTCACTGCGTGGTCCAACCTCAGAGCTGCGCCACCGCTCCTCTCCCCTCCTCACTGCCCAACACCACCTTCCAGACCATTCCTGTCATGCGCACAAGACAACCTCACCTAGCCCCTCTGTGCTCAATCCCTTAGCTCAGTTTCTGTGCCTGTCACGGGGTGCTCCCTCCTCGGGTGCTCCCTGATTGTTACCTCCGGCAGCTCTGGAAACCAGTATCCTGCCTCTCATCCATTCCAAGACACAAACCCCTCACACCTTAACATCTCACAAGTCACAACATGTGTTAAAGTCAACAGATGTGCTGAATTGTATATTGAATAGTTTTCCTCTTCAATTTTTTTGGAGTTACTGATGACTGAACTCAGGACCTCAAATATCTAGGCAGGTGCTCTACCACTTGAGCCACACTGCCAATCCATTAATGTTCTTTCTTAAGAATTATTCAGAGACTGGGAAGGTGGCTCCGCAGTAGAGTGCTTGCCCCTCATTCATGAGGCCCTGGCTTCGATTTCTTAGCACCACATACACAGAAAAGGCCGGAAGTGGCTCAAGTGGTAGAGCGCCAGCCTTGAGCAGAAGAGCTCAGGCCTAGAGTTCAAGCCCTACAACCAACAAAAAAAAAAAAAGAGGGGCTGGGAAGGTGGCTCAGTGATAGAGCGCTTGCCTTGCATGCATGAGGCCCTGGGTTCGATTCCTCAGCACCACATAAGCAAAAAGAAAAAAACTGGAAGTGGCACTATGGCTCAAGTGGTAGAGCGCTAGCCTTGAGCTGAAGAGCTGAGGGACAGCGCCCAGGCCCAGAGTTCAGGCCCCACAACTGGACCCCCCCCCAAAAAAAAAGAAAGTCTTACAATGCACACCATCAGATGTAATGCTGTAGCCTCAGGTGGAGGGAGCTGGCACTCTATTAAAAGGAAGACTCAATGCATGTGTTAAGACAGTTCTACTTCCCAGTTAAAAACTCAAGATGGGGGCTGGGAAGGTGGCTCAGTGGTAGAGCGCTTGCCTTGCATGCCTGAGGCCCTGGGTTCGATTCCTCAGCACCACATAAGCAAAAACAAAAAAGCCGGAAGTGGCGCTGTGGCTCAAGTGGTAGAGCGCTAGCCTTGAGGTGAAGGACAGCACCCAGGCCCAGAGTTCAGGTCCCACGACCGGACCCCCCCCCCAAAAAAAGAGGCTGAGATCTGAGGATCGTGGTTCAAAGCCAGCCTGGGCAGGAAAGTCCGTGAGACTCTTTTTTTTTTCTTTCTTTCCCTGTGAGACTCTTATCTCCAATAAACCACTAGAAAACTGGAAGTGGCACTGTGGCTCAAGCGGTAGAGTGCTCACCTTGAGCTGAAGAGCTGAGGGATAGCGCCCAAGCCCAGAGTTCAAGCTCCATGACTGATCAAAAAAAAAAAACAAAAAAACTCAAGATGGGCTGGACACTCAGGATGGCTCACACCTGTAATCTTAGCTACTCAGGAGGCTGATCGCAGTTGTTCAAAGCCAGCCCAGGTAGGAAAGACTGTGAGACTCAGCTCTAATTAACCACCAGAAAACTGAGAGTGGTGCTGTGACTCAAAGTGGTAGAGTGCTAGTCTTGAGTGAAAGGGCTCAGGAACAACGCCCAAGCCTGGAGTTCAAGCCCCATGACTCGCAAACAAAACAAAAACTGAGGATGGGGCTGCACTGTGTTTCAGTGGTAGGATGCTTGCTTAGCATCCCCAGCAGTGTTTAAAAAAATATAGGGGCTGGGAAGGTGGCTCAGTGGTAGAGTGCTTGCCTTGCATGCATGAGGCCGTGCGTTCCATTCCTCACCACCACATAAGCAGAAAAAGCCAAAAGTGGTGCTGTGGCTCAAGTGGTAGAGCACTAGCCTTGAGCTGAAGAGCTGAGGGACAGCGCCCAGGCCCAGAGTTCAGACCCCATGACCAACAACAACAACAACAACAAAATTTAAACCTTGCAATGGTTTTCAAAGCTTCACCCGATATCCATTATGTGCATGTCACTTAAATGCCACCCACACGGGAGGACCTTGGCATGGCACACCACGCAATTCTCCAACACTCTCACACAGTCCTGCTTTCCCATTTCAGGGACAGCACAAGATGCGTTATTGTCCTTAAGCAGACCTGTGGAGAGGCCCGCACATGGGCAGGCCTGTCTGTCCCCCTTCACAGCAGTCACCTCACGTTGGCATTTGCACCACTGTCCAGGAGGAACTTGACCATCTGCTGGTGCCCGGCACTGGTGCAGTGGAAGAGTGCGGTCCAGCCCTGGATGTCTTTCATCTCGAGCTCTGCGCCTTGCTTTGAGAGAACAGAGCAGTTACAGCCTGTCTCCCAGAGAGGCAGGCAGAGCCCTGCAGGCTGTCAGCTGGAAGAATCCAAAGTGATTACACACATGGGCACACATGCGCATGCACACACCCTGAGGCCCATGGGCCCTCACACCCTGCCAGGGAGGCCAGGGCGGCCCTCAGGTTGCTGAGTCTGTGTGTCCTCGAAACTCACCTGGAGCAAAAAGTAGGCGATGCTCTCGTTGCCACAGCTGGAGGCCAGCATCAGAGGCGTCTGCCCTTCCGGGGTTGGCACATTCACACTCACCCCTGCCTCAAGCAGCAGGTGCACGATGGTGTCATGTCCGATGTACGAGGCATACATCAGGGGGGTCCAGCCACCACCATTCTTCGTATTCAGATCTAACTCTCTCCTAAACAGAGGCAAGATATGCTAGGTATGACCAGATGTGAGGCCTCATCTGGGCCTCACCAGACCCCAGGTGAGTTAAGTTGACCTTCTGGGCAGCCCTGGGGTGGGGGAAAGCGGACAGGTGGCCGCTTCTAGTTGCTGTGCACTTGCCATCACATCCTCAGCTCTAGGCTCCCTTCCCTAATTTAGTTCACATCCACCCAACCACCTCGCTCAAGAATGCACTGCCAGTGAAACAGGCAGGGTTCAAGCAGACTAGGCAAGGCCTGGAGTCAGCTCAACACATCCCACGGACATGTAGTGGTAGGGACAGCGAGCCTACACAGCAAACACTGTTCTGGCTGGGTTTGGCAGAAAAGCCAAAGCTGAGGCAGCCTGCCACCTGCCACCACTGCCAGTCTCTGCTGTGCAGTGCTGCAGAGGGGCCCAGAGTAAAAGAGGAGACCTGGCTGCAAACAGGCACCATTACCATCAACTACTTGGTTTACCCCGCCCTACAGAAACATTTTTTTAAAATCTATGACCAGACATTTCTATTTTTCTCTTATTTCCACTAAGATCCTTGAAATCCATTTCCATACAAGAAAGAAAAAAAAAAAAAAAACGGAAGTTTTCTAGCTCAGACTCTGGAGCCTGGCTCATACTTCATAATCACACCCAGTCCATGAGCAATGTACGCAGTTAAAGCCCACAGGCCTTTCACTCCCACAGTTCTTGTCTGCCACCTCCAGTGGATAGAGCCAGTGACTCCCTCACGATTTTGCGTACTCAGGATCCTAACACTGAGCTACTCCATCACTAATGCCTCCAAGCAGCCAGTCCGCAGGGACAGTAGAAATCCAGGGGCAGTAATGCTGTATTGGTCTCCGAACACCTCTGTCTGAAGTCAAGGCTTGAGTTACCGGTTCATCCTCTTAAGCTGAGGGAGAAGAAAGTGCCAAAGCCTCCAAAGCCTCAGACCCACTCTAGGCTTGCTGCAAGCAAGCCTCCCAGGTCCTATCAGAACAGAGACAATCACTCTCCTTCTCTCTACAGTTAAGTGTAGCCACTCTGCCTACAGCCTAGGATTCCAGAGAATTTCTAATAGGGGTCTGACACTGGACAAAGGAGCCAGTTAGCTGCCTTTCCCTAACCTAACCCTCCCCCCAAACACACAAAGGAATCTGCCATACTGTTTTCCATCCACAGCCACCACTGTATGGCCAGTGGAGACCTGGAGCTTCCTGGGGCTTGACCTGGCTCACCTGGAACTGAGGCGGGATGGGGGCGGGGCTGCAGACACCATCCAAATGAGAAATGAGTAAGGAATATGAAGAACACAAACCCCTTTCCAAAAATTACCTTCCAAGTTACATTGTGCTGTATGCAAACACAGCCATGAGACTGAACACCGGTAAGCAGATCAGCCAAAATAACAGTTGGGCACTGAAGTGGCCAGGCCCAGGACGGCCAAAAGCACAGCCTCTCAGAGGGGAGAGGAGCACAGGAGTTACAAAGCAAGCAAGGACAAAGCAAGCTTAAAGCGTTCTGCTCTCCATCTTTACCTTTGGTTGTTTGTATGTTCCTGCTATCAGTCAAAACCTTCAAGGTAGTTAGGCTCTAGTAAATTACAAATGTTTATAAGTCTACAATTAAAGTTTAAATCAAAACTGCCTTCTTTGCTAGTAAACAGTATCATGGACAACTTTATAGAGACAAGCAGGTACGCCTGCCCAGAGTGTGTCTACTCCTTGAGTGAGGCCCCTGCAGGGAAGCTTGGAAGCCACAGAAACGCTGCTTGAAGTGTGAAGAGAAGGGCTACTCCCGGAGACCCTTACCTCTGCACACATTCCTTCACCACCTCATACTGGCCGATGGAAGCTGCTGTGTGAAGGTCCAGGGGAACGTCCAGCTCCTCTCGGCTGACCTGTGTGCCCAGCCCGTGCCACATGGATAAGCTGCAGTTCAGAAGCTCCGGCTCACTGGCTTCATCGCTCAGCTCAGACATGGCTGTGGAGGGAGGCCCAGGGCTTAGGTCTTCCTTCCTGGCTGTTCCAGGCAGAGAAATACCAGGTCCTAGTCCTGCCTACAGCAGGCTACCACACCACCACTAAGATGAACAAGCCCAGCTGACGGCTTTCTCTAAACAGCAACTCCATAATGTAATAACCAGGGCCTGCTGCCACATAGAAGTGAGGAGCTGTTTCCACATTCCACAGGTCTTCCTGAGGAAGGCGCTCTCCTTCAATCCACAGGCCTCAGGTTCTAGGAGCCGGACCTCCTCTTGGGTAGGTAATAAAAAGATATCTGCTGGGTCATTTGAGTCAGCCCCTGGGTATGGTGGACAATATCACTGGATTTGGGGCTACAGCAAAACTAAGCTCTGTGATTTAGCTTCCTTAGTCTTAGGTTCCTCACTGTCTCATGGGCAGAGGGTGTCTTATGGCTATTAAAAACACATGGAGGGGGAGTAGAGGGGGAATGGGAGGGGGTGGGAGGGGATGGGAAGGGGAAACAAAGGAGGAGGCAACAATGCTTGATAAGAAATACACTCATTACCTTGCCCACATAATTGTAACCCCTCTGTATGGTATTTTCACAATTAAAAAAAAAAAACACAGAAGCCAAGCACAGTGGTACACATCCGTAATCCTAGAGCTTAAGAGGCTAAAGTGGAGGAAGTGAGTTGAAGGGTAGCCTGGGCTACCTAAAGGCCTTGCCTCACAAAACCAAACCTTGCAGCCAGACACTGGTGGCTCATGCCTGTAACCCTAGCTACTCAGGAGGTTGAGATCTGGGGATTGCAGTTCAAAGCCAGCCTGGGCAGGAAAGTCCATGAG